TGCTGCCCCTGACGCTCTTGTCTCTCTTTAGGTAAATATGTGATAACTGTGAATATTGTTTCTGATTTTGTTTTGGTTGTTCTTTTTCTTCCTTCAGTGAGCCTTTGGAAGCATATATCTATTTTGGCCCTGTGTATTACCAGAAACTAAAGCACATGGTGTTGGATAAAATGCATGCAAGAGCTCGAGGACCCAGAGCAGTGCTCACCAGGTATTGTTACAGGCTAAGTGCAGAACTCTTAGCATACATTCAGAAGTGTGCTCAGCTGACTGATGGGTATAAACCAAAGTTTACCTTTTGATACTTGACACAAAATGCTATTACCTGTTAATATACTGTTACAGACTAAAAACCCTCACAGTAGACTGTGGCAGAAGGTTGTTCTGAATGTCCAGGTGTGCTCTATGTGGTCCAAAACTGAGTTTGCTTCTCAGACTTCTGTTAGCAGTTGGTAAAAATACCGTCTGCTGACTCACAGTGCACTCTCTGGCCCTTTTCCCTTTCAGATTGCTCGTATCATAGGTATTTTAGGAGGATTTTTTTTTTAATTTAACAATTTGTACTTTTACAAGTCGAGTATGAGTAGAAGGAAGGAATTCCTTTTAATATTTCAGCATCCTTCGTTATTCAGCAGGTTAACATTGATGTGGCCCATGTCTTCACCTGTTGAAGCAAAGCAAATCTGCCGTAGTGTAGTGCAAACAAGTGTTAGAACAATGTGCATCCCTGGTATGCTGCACTTTGCCTTGCAGACTTTTCCATTCAACTCTAAAACTGAATTTAGGGTTGTATGTGCTGGTCCACAGTTACTCAATACCATGCAGGAGAACAGCACCTTCACAGTAATAAACTGCAGAAGTTACAGAAATGCCAACGGTAAATCTCCATTTTTATTTGCCCAGCTAAAGATGCGTTCTCAGTTTCTTTGGAGTCATGATCATTGCACTAAGGCTGAATTTGTTTTTCTCTCCAACAAAAAGGTTAATTACTATGTTGATGTCTTCTGGTATGAAATTTTGAAGTCAAGCAGATGTACTCTGGGTAATAGGTTAATATGAGCCCCTGGAGGTGGGCTTATATTATATGGACCTTTGGGGAATTTGAAGCATCTTGCTTTCGCTGATGTTACTTACTTTTTCTCCTTAAAGCCAACCTCTGTGGCTGCTTGCAGTCATGTTCTAAGTTGCTGATATTCCTGGCTCACAAGAAACAGTTCAGTGGCACAGGCTTTGTTTTGAGGAGGCTTGTAGTGGATCGTTTAGTCCACCTCTCTCCAGCACAGTAGGATTTTTTGCGAAATCTTTCCAGAAAGTTAATTGCCAGCTAGTCTTGAATATTCTTGCAAATATTATTCTGAATGTCTTCTGCCAGTCTTTCTGGACTCTCACGTGCACCATTCATACCGCATCTGCTGCATAGTGGTACTCTTCTTTTTGATCAGTCCCTTTTGTACTGTTTTTGAGATGTTAGCACAATATCATGTCTATTCTGCCTTACTCTTCTCTGTAAGAAGCATGATGCATATTCTTTAATTCTTGATTTATTTTTATGCCCCTTATCATGTGCTGATCCACTTCTCTTTCCTTGTCTGCCTGCACAGCAAGTTGGCTTAGAAGTGTCCATGGAAGTAAATAACCAGTGATTAAACTGGGAGAGAAATCACAAAAAATTTTTCTTGTCTGAACTTCTCCAGCCATGTTAAGAAGAGCAAGTGTAGCATAGCCATCATTTCCTACCACAGCTGTTTGCCAATATGAACATAGCCCATTATTTGGGAATATCATTTGTCTACCCCATTTTCTGTTCTTCAGTGTGTTAGTCATGGTATTGGTGCTTCACATGAAAAGGAGAACTCGCTGTCTTGGCTAATGATGCACGCAGTTGGTTTGCTGGAGCTCCTAGCTCACCCGGAGCCCTTGATCTGCTTTTGTATTGTCTCCCCGGCTTCTCATCTGTTTAGAGATATTTAAATTAAATGAAACCTAAATCCCAAGTCTAGGTAATGTTTACATGTAAAGATGAAGGTGGGGTGATTTCTCCCATCCCTTACTTTCTTTGAATTCTTTGTTCCAGTCAGTAGCATCATACTATGTAGTTAGTGCTCTTTATTTGACTTTCAGGAAAGCTAGTGCATGTTCAATTTATGCTGCCTCTTGACTAGTCTTTTAGGAGTTTTCCTTTCTCTCCTCAACTAATTAAACTTTTGTTATTGCCATTGCCTCTGCTGAGAGAGTCTGCTTTGCCAGCTTTCATACTTACTATTGTTTTATCAGCCATTGCACTTCCTGGAGAGTAGATTGCCTCTAACATTGTTTTTTGCTTTTAAAAATAATCCTGTAATGGCTTCCAACATGGAATTTGACTGTTGTCTGGGAATGCATTGTATTATATATCAAATGCACCTTAACTGACAGAGCAAAGCTGTATTTCCTCTGGAAGATGAAATTTTGAGTTCCTTGAACATCACTGATTCTAGATATTGCTCTGGTTAAAACGAGACTTTATAGAATTGCAAAGCAGCACTCTTTGTCAACACAGTCAAAAAGCACCAGAATGTTGCCCTCTGAATTGGTATTTGTTAAAGGAAGTGCAATCACAGAATCACAGAATGTCAGGGATTGGAAGGGACCCCAAAGGATCATCTAGTCCAATCCTCCTGCCTGAGCAGGACCACCTAGATTAGATCACACAATACTTTATTTTGTCACGAGTAGTTGACAATTAATTTTAAACAGTTCTATATATGGTGTTGCCCAGATACCCTGGGCTAAATCTTTTTAATAGATAACCTGCTTTTAGTTTTCCTTACAAGAGATCAAAATAAGCTTTCTGCATGCATAGTCGTTTTGATGGACATTGTCAGAGCTGCCACCTACGTGTCTTTTGAACTTACCAGATATGCCAGTTCCTATTACACTGCAAGGGAGTAACATGATGACGCTGGTCAGGGTTCATCTCTGCACTCTGAGGCTGTGGGAGCACAGCACACCCTCCTCCTTCAAGCAGTGTTTTTGTAGATAATACTCCACTTCTTGGAGATCAGTGTTTCAGCCAACAATTCCATTTCGAGTTAGCCACTGGTTTTTTGTAACAGGCACAAGGGAGATCTGCTGAGACCTACAAGGCCTGCTCTTATTCATGGGGGTAGACTTATTTCTCCTCACTGGCCAATGAAACAAGGTACAGGACCATAAAGCTGAACCCACTGTTCTTCCAGAAAATGCAGAATTAGCGCAAATAAATTCTTAATGTGCTTAAAAACGCTGAAGTTAATTGTTTTACACTTTTTTTTTCTAAATGCAGCAGTTAAATAGTATGAAGATGACTTAGCCTTATTTTTTTTTATTTAAAGAATCACTGCATTTTATTTAGCACTTAAGAATTTTAAGAACTTTCTATCTTTTTATAGTTTTTAAATATTAAAAATACCTCTTTTTAATTATATTCCCAACCTTATTTTCAAGAGTCTGCTTTGTTTTCAGAATGTTATATTTAGAATAAAGAATGGAAGTAGTTGCCCAGGGCAACAGCTGCAGTGTACATGTGTATAGAGGGAAAGGGGGAGCACAAATACTTTATAAATACTGTTTTAACATTGTAAACAACCCTTGGTGTGAGGAATTTTCAAACTCATGTGAGCTGTAAGAAAAATCTGATAGACTTAGAGAGCATAAGATGTACTCTTTTCAAAGGCCCAAGCTCAATATTAAAATTTTTGATACTTTAGAACTACTTTTTAAGGAGGGAGGATTTTGTTCGTTTTGTTTTGGTTTGTTTTTCAAATTAGATCATCTTTTCATTCAGTGGGAGTGAAACACTTAAGAGCTTAAGACTCAAGTTGGAGTTTTTGGTTTTGGGTGAGGTTTTGTGATTTTTTTATTTTTTTTTCCCCAAATGGGATGTCAGCTGCCTTAGAAATCTTCGTATTATATCTGCTGGAAGACCCATGCCATAACAAGTCTTAAAGGGCTGGAGTTGAGACCCCCATCATTTTTCAAGATGTCTTATCCTTCCTTCCTTAATTGGATTGAGACTTTATTGGGGCTCAAATTTATAAAGGTATTTTGGTATTTTGTCCTGTGGAACCGCATCTGGTGAAACTTTTGAAAGTAGGCTTGTGCATTAACCAATATTATAGAAGTCAGTTGGTAAAAGGAACTGAGGCACTTACAGCACAGCAGCAAATGCCTGTATCTTTGGAGGCCCCAGCTGCTTTTAAAATCTGCCACTTGGGACTTCAGAAGAGAAACTGTGTTCACCACAAGGTTAGTCCTTTAAAAAGCATCTGAACAGTGCTGGTGGCATCATCTGGGGAGGGGGCCCTAGGGAATTTAATCAGGATGTAAACAACTTCTATCCATTCACCCAACAGTGGGAAAAATACAAGGTTATATGAATGAAAAGGGTGTTTGGAATTACAAGCAGATTAGTTTTAAGGTTCCAGTGTGGTCAGAGTAAGGGAAACTTCATCCTCCTAAAAACAAATACAGCTTGCATCTTTAGAAGATATTTTGGTCTGGTAATTAGGTATATTTTTTATACTTGTTACAAAAGATTATTAGATGTTGAAGGCTTTTATAAATCCTTTTCTCTGAGTTGCAATAAATTGGCAAAAACTTATTTTTAATACTTGTAGTATGCTTAACAAATTTGGTTGTTTGAAATAATATAAAAAAAAGTCCTCCAAAAGTTACAAGCTGTCATTGGTGTTCTACGTGAATTACACTGCTGCTGATATCAGAAACAGCACATAAACATGGGGTTTCACTGAGCAGCGAACCCTCTTGTAATTGCCAGTAACATTTTTCCTTCCTTCGCTTTGTTGTCACGCTTCAGGAATTTGAGACTGGTTTTGCCTCATAGTTCACTCTAATGTTTGCAACTACTGCATTGTGCTAGTACGTGAAAGGAGAACTGATACTGTATGAAACTGCTGAATGACAAAAAAGACATTAAAAGTTTTGACTGTCCAACAAAAAAAAAAGGCTTAAACAATCATAATGTTCTTAAATAATGTATTATACTTTGCCTTTTTTACCTCAAAATCTTTAGCATATACTTATGTTGCTTTGTTAAAACTTTCCTCTAGCAGCATGAGGGAAGGAAGTCTTTCCAGTCAAGAAATGAGAGTTTGATTTGCGTTTTGGAACTAGAGAACCAGGAGCCTATACAATGGAAAAATTAGTCTGTTAACTGTCAGACATGAAAAAAATGAACTAGATAAGTGTTACTTAGCAAAAAAAGAAAAAAGTATGATTTCAATAATGAGTTAGTAGTATGCATACCACTTGTTTACCGCTTTGGATTCTCTCCCAGATTAAAAATGGTTTTATTTAAAGAATTTAAACTTACTACTACTTAGCTGTAGTTCAGCTGAAACAGTAGTTTGATGATTCATTTATTAGCTGCTGAATATTGTTTCATTTAGTTAGCTATAAACTACAATGAATGTCTCAGCAAAAACAGAGTGCTAAATCTGTCTCCAGATTGTCTTGAATACTGTTCAGTCTGTTTTTTGTTTTCACTTACTTATTCAGCAACATTCTGTGAGGTAAACAGTTGTGGCCTGACACTGCAGTTGTTACACACAGAACTACATCACGCTGCTAGTGCAGGAACAAGTGCTTCAACTTGAATAACACATTTGCGAGATCAGCAGCTCTTGATTTGTAGAAAACTGTTGTCCGTTGATCCTGTACTGTTCCTACAGTTTGAAGACAGGCATTCCTAGAGTTGTAGAATGTATGTTCTGAAATACTTACTAAGTTTTTCAATTATTTGTTTCAAAGACAACCCACTGAAGGTCGATCCCGTGATGGTGGTTTACGTCTTGGAGAGATGGAACGGGATTGTTTGATAGGTTATGGAGCCAGCATGCTTCTATTGGAGAGACTGATGATTTCAAGTGATGCCTTTGAAGTGGATGTTTGTGGGCAGTGTGGCTTGCTGGGGTACTCTGGCTGGTAAGTTGTCTAACTGTAATGCTTTTTGTAAATCATGGTGTCCTCTCCTCACTTTGTGGATGTGACATGTTTCATATATGCTCGTATTTTCAAAAAACCCCTTGACCTCAAATGCATAAAGCAAAGTGGTACAAAGTAAACGTGCCTCTATGTAATAGAACCTTGCCCTTGGTTATAGTGCTTCTCACTTTTGAAGTGCTCACAGACACCGGTTAACAGTCCCATGCACTTTAATCAAAACCAGTGTCAACATTCAAAAATGGTATTTGGAGAATTTGTGACAGAGACAATTCTGTGTTACGGTTTGATTGAATTTAGGACTAAAGTGAGTGTGTAGTCAATGGTCCAGGAGTCTCTCCTGCTGTGAAGCACAGGTATTCTCTTTCACAGCCAGCTGTGCCGTTGGGAAAGAATACCTTCGCCCTCTCTGCTGCCTCTCCTCCTACCCTTGCAGGGGATTAGCAGACCCTCAATCCTGTATATCATCTGTTTTTTGAAAGTGGAAACTAGCTGTGTCAATGTCCTTGATTTTTCTGACGTCAGAAATGAGATTACTAGCTAGGCTAGTCACAGATCTTCCCTATGCAATCACGTTAAACCTGACAAGGCTGAAGAGAGAGAGTGGGCACAGAAGAATGGAAGGACAAAGCAACATTTCCTGTTTTCTTGTTCTGTAGCTATGGCCTTCGTAATCACATACAGACTGCTTTCCTTGACTGTGCCCCTCCCAAATGCCTTTTGCTTTGTAGTCTTGTAAAACAAGGAACTTCTCTTCGAAGCATCAGGCAAACACACCAATCCCTTCTTGGAGCCTGAGAGACAAGCAGCTGTCTGGTTGGAAATTCATTTGGCTTCTGACCAACTGCCTTGTCCCTAAGAAACTTATCTCTAGACTAGCTAATGGTCTTGCTGTCTTACTTTGGGTCCTAAGCCAGTACTGAGTTTATCTCCTGCAAACAAACTGGTTCTTCAAGTAGGGGAAGCATAAAACTGGATGTCAAAGCTATGCGAAACTCACCATGTGTAACACTATGGGCTTTGCTCTTGACCATCTTTTCTCTACAGTAACTTTGAGATGCTAGATTTAAAGTTGCACTGTATCATGGTGGAAATACACCACTATCATCAAATACATCACTATAGGGACGCTTCTTTTTGTGTCCTTTAGAGGTGAGGGAAATGTTTTGCTTTAGCTTGCTTTTGTTTTAGCCAGGCAGAAAAAGACTTGTGGGATCAATAGGAATTTGAGACACAAAATTCTTGCAAGCTCTGTTAAGACAGGTGACCTGGAATCCCATGACTAATGGAGGAAAAAAGCAACAATGCGAGTTCTAGTTACTCCAATATTTATGTCAGGGGAAGCTGGGGAGTTGGAAGGAGAAAGAAAGAGATTCATTTGTAAATACCTCAAAAGAATGTTGTTGGAAACTTGCCGCATCTTGGTTATCCATATCAATCTATTGAGAGAGGCAGGAAATTGGACTTCATTCACTTCAATGCTTCGAGAGTGATTTCTCCATGATATAATAAAGTAGGAAAGTAAGGTGTGTTCTCAGTTTGTAGATATGTAAAAGCGACAGCTACCATTCCTGCCCTTGCTCAGACCTTTCTTCTGAAGCATATGGCTTCTGGCCGGAAACCAAGCAGCACGTTTGTCTGCTAATAGCAGCAGCAGTTCTGCTCCTTGTGAGGCAGAAGCTCAGACAGAGGTAGGTAAATACATGTGAAATCCAGGGGAGAGCCAAGGCCTGCTGTGTGCATCCTGTTGTGGGTGGTGATTTTTAGTTGGGCATTGTCCTACTGGCTTTTGTGCAGTAAGTATTTTTGAGAGTCCTTTTTTTTCTTGAGTGTGTGTACACTGTATGTAACAAGTGAGGTCTTTTTCTGATCCAGGTCTCTTAAAACTACTTCAATGCAAATAACAGTTGAAGTTGTTTGAAAGGAAGGGCATGCCATAAGTCAAACAGCCAACCACTTTTAACTGTGTAAAGCACTACCTTAAAAAAACTCACATGAAGATGTAGCTCAATATTTTTTTTTTATAGGACGTTGGCTTTCAGAGCAGTCCTTGAAGATTTTCAGAGACCATAAGAAGTGAGGGCACCTTGAAGAAAATTAGGAATTTGAACTTTAGACATAGTATTACATTTTATTTTCAAGGTGTTGTTAATATAGTTCATATTTTTAAATTTCTAACAAAGCTGAGTAACTTTTTAAAATAACCATGAAAGAAACTACCATCAGACAGAGCCAGACATTCTTGCAATCTGATTTTGTGAAAAGCTGTCTGATGTATAAGAGTAATCAATAAGAGGTAGTTTCTGGTAAATGATATGCTGTGCCTACCAGTCCCCTAAAGCAAGTGGCCCTATTATGAGCATCACAGTAGAAACCAAGTCATTAAGAGAAACTTCCGAACTAGCATTTTCAGTGATTCTGGCATTAATAAGACGTTGCTGCAAGAAGCCTTTTAGAAACATATTTTTTGGTGGCTAGCATTAAGGGCACTTGTCTTAAGGAAGGTGATCCTTTCGTCCAAGACAAGGACTAGCCACTAGGTGTGTTTTTCTGCTAGACAGTAACAGCAGATCAGTGTTGGGGCCTGAACTGGTACTTCCAGAGGAGAAGGGTACTGTTGTGACGTACCAGTTCTGCGCAGATTTTCCAGCTTTGCTGTTGTACAGATGCTCTGGGGCAGGACTCCACTGAATACAATGAGCAGAATTTGGTCCTTTTTTTGTTGATGAGAAGTTATTCCAATCCCTCAAGTCTGAGTATTTTAAAATCTACATGCAGAAAAACTTTTGTTTCTGATCCAGATTCAGCTTTGGCACAGTTGCCTTTTTCTGTCCAGTTTATTATCAATTCTAGTACCAAATAGTCTTTAAAGTACATCAATTTTTTGTGATCTCTGTTTGACAGAGCTTTGCACTTACTGCACCTTAGCCTATCTGGGTGATCTCTACGAAGGAGGCCCAGAATGGTGTAGCTTCAAGCCTTGGTGCAGTGAGTAGTCGCTGCTTCTCAGTCCCTAGTAGCTGTAATCAGATGGTAGACGTCTGCTCATAGCAGAGAAGTTGTGCCTCATCACACTTCCAGAGCTTGCAAGGTGGCTTTTTTTGAGAGCAATTGCTTGCTATGTTATCAGCAGAAAATTACTTCTGTTTAGGTCACTTCCTCTCGCCATAAAAATGTACCTATGTAACATTTCCCCTATGTAACAGTGTCTACAGGAGAACCCTGTTCCAGGGAAAACACCTAGTTCAGTCTGTAACCTTCCTACTGCTTATAATCAGATCTAGACAAAGCCAGAGCAGTTACTGGGAATAAGTGAAGCTTCATTCCTCATTGTAAACTGCAGAAATGTAATTAAGGCTTCTGTACCATTGGTTGAAAGCTTTCTTGGTTTAAATAAATCAATAAATAAATACCTCAAGTATGGAGCGAGCGTGTGGAGGTCAGGGCAACCACAGTTTTCTTGGAAAATAACCAGCTCTTTGACATGCTCTTTAACTATGTCTGTAAAAGAGAAGTAGCAGAGTCTGAAAAAGCAACGGGAAGACTAGTGCAGAGTCTCATAACCAAGAACCTTATTAACACTAACCAACTTTATTGGACCTGGCCCCATTGACTTCCACGTGCTCTGGGTCAAGTTCACTGGTAACAGAAAAAAGTGACTAAGCATTGGCTTTATTGTAGATGTTGATTGTCAGCCTCATTCTGTACCACAGAAGCGTGTAGGAATTTTGCTAATTCTTCCATAATTGGAACTTCAGACTCTCATGACTTTATGCCAGAAATATAAATTTGAAACACAGAAACAAAAAAAAAGAGCTTTGTTAGACCATTAGGGAAGTGTCAAGTCACGCTGTGTTCCCAAACGCCTGGCTTTCTCAGCTCTCCAAAACCAGAAGATGGAATATAAAGAAGAGGAAATAGAGAGGTGGGAAACTGATATTTGTGAGAAAGATTTCTAATTTCCTATGTGTGTACATGGAATATGAAATTAAATAATTCAAACAGTTGCTACCACCACCACTTAATTTGAATCCCGATACTGGAAAGATGACTGAGTGACCAGCCTGTCTATTACTGGTATGGTCAAAATTGTATCAATATAACAAAAAAATCCCTCTCCTCCAGAATTTTAAGAACATTCTTTGGGTAGAGTGCAAAGAAAATATGTATTAGAGCAGTTTTACTGGTTTCCCATCTTGACTAAAGCTTTGGGTGTTCATGCAAAGAGACATCAAGTGAGAGATGCCCCTTTTGTGAGCTGGGAATATGAACTGATTTGAGGCATTATAGGGTGAAATTGCATATAAGGAAAAAAAAAAAAACAAAGTATGAACATTTTTCCTGCCTCTCTTTTGTGACTATATATAAGATAGACATTGGACCATTAACCATGTTTTCAGAAATACATAGGTTTGTTCACCTCTTTTCTCTTATTATGCAATGCTGAATTTGTGTTGGCGGTTGCATGAGTTACGAAGAAGTAGAAGTGAGTCCTGTTAGCTACTGAGCACTGTGATTCTCCTCCAAGAGAATCAATGGAGGTTTAACATTAAGCTCCTATTGGCTTCAGTCAGATTATTTAAGGGCTTAAAGTTACAACTTGCGTAAGCGCTAAAATGTCTCAAGCACTCGACTTCTTCTAGAACTGAGCCGTGTTTAAATGCAGGTAGACAAAGAAACCAGTGGATAGTGGCAACTGTTTTTTTCCTCCAGAGCTTCATTTATGCACCAACTCTGACTTTCTTTTTGTTTTGTTTCCTTAGGTGCCACTACTGCAAATCATCATGTCATGTGTCTTCTCTGCGCATACCTTATGCCTGTAAACTCTTATTCCAAGAATTGCAGTCAATGAACATCATACCTAGGCTAAAACTGGCTAAGTACAATGAATGAATGAGATGGAAAAGAGAGAGAAAAGTACTTTACATAAATTGAAATCCAGCATGTATAACTGGAAGATTTTTTTTTTTTGTGAACTGGAATAACTCTAAAACCTGAGTGGGTAGAAAGGAGGTGCAAGACAGTGTAAGAAATCATTCTTACATATTCTACCTGGTTTTAAGTTGACAGGGGAGACTGTCAGTAGAGTACACTAGGAGCAGTTCTGAAAGCCTTGTTTAGTCTGAGTGAACAGGACACGTGGCAATTGTGGAATAAGGCCGTGCTCCAGCAAAGCACTTGCATCACTTCAAACTACCACATGCTTGGTTTTCAAAAGTGCTTTGCTGGACTAAGGCTTGAGCTGAGCTGAATGCACATCTTATTCATAGAGGTTAAAAATGTTTTCCAGACCAGTGGACTATGAAAGACTAATAAATGTTTTAAATAATACTGCCTGAGTATGTGTTGGTGGCCTTGTAAGGGTGGTAAAACCACCTGATATGGTCTAAAACATTTTTGTATTCCAGAAGCATTTTGTTAAAGCGTTAAAAGTTTTGTTGAGTAGTGTCAGGCTTAGAAAAATGAAACCACTTTCTCAAACTTGAAATCAGACATTTTGAGTGGGATTTCTATATGCAGGTGCATTTGTGTGCAAGCAATGGTGTCATTATACAGACAGTCTGCTTTCAGCTAAAGGTACGCAGTTCCCATGGAGTTCCAGGGAGGTGACTGCGTAGGCACCGAATGCGTGATGCAGCTTAGAGATATCCATCCATTCAATTCCTACTGAGTATAGTACGTTTAATAATACACTGGCCCAAAGCCCTGCAAAGACAGGCTGCATACACTTAGGTGCTGATTTATGCTGTGCTAGGACTTCAGAACTTTTTTTAAATAGCTAGCTAGAACATAGCTAGAACTAGCTAGCATAGCTAGAACTAGCTAGCATAGCTAGAACTTTTCTTTTTTAAAGCAAAACAAAAAAAGAACTGTGAAAAACAACAAATTCTCCACTGACAGTGAATCAGATTTGAATGACTTGAAACAACTTAGAAAGGGAACAGCTGACTTTTTTCATGAGATCTAAGTCCCAAAAGTAAAGCAGTGGATGATCTCAGAGTCACTTAGTATCCTAAACTCATTTGAGCCCTTACTCGGCAAAGCATATGGCTAACTTCTTAAGTATTTCTGAAGTCGAGGTGATGTATGTGCATGGTCAGGTGTTCCAGAGAAAGGCAGTGCTCTGGATGAGTGAGGATGCAGAACACTGCCTTCCTATCTGGAAGTCCTGAGATGCTCTTTAGCTCCTCGCTCGGCTGAGTTGTGCACGCCAGTCCTGACACTGTTCTTGCAGTCATGTTGCTGCTGTTCTCTCTCTGAGCTAGCACAGCACAGATGCTGGATCAGCCTGACTAGGCTTGCTTTTTAAGCTTCTGACAAATTGCTTAAACTAGTAGTTTTGTGTCTGGGCTTACAAATCAAGTCTGAAGGGATAGATTTTACTTTTCTTTTTTTGGTGACTGGACTAATGACAACACAGATGTCAGCACAGCACACATTCTGATTGGAAAAGCTCTTGAAGTACCTCTACCAGGATCTGAACAGCTCAGGGTCATTTACAGAGAGTTTTAAGAGATCCACATTCTGTTTCAAACCGGAGGAAGTGGTTAACCAAAAAAGCCCCGACCAAACGAACCAGCTTTGCTTTTCTCCCCGAGATGGGCAGGCGGAGGCTCGGGTGCACCAGCAGAGGGAGCGAGCCTCAAAGGCTACAGCCTGTGGTGGGGGAAGGTTGTGACCTGGGTGAAGGAAACCATGCTGAGAGTAAGGTGTTCTTTGCTAGCTAGCCCTCTCTTAAGTGGTCTCCTAGGTTAGATGGTCTGAGCGACGGGACATTAAAGACTAAGCAATGTGTACGTTTACACCTGCAGAAATTTAAGCAGACACAGCAGAGATGAAGAGGAGGAGGAGAGGAACGTGCGCATGAGTTACCCTATTGAGAGACAGGTTTATGTGCAACCCTGAGGGGTAAACTTGCAGCTGGTTTACCTCAAGCTGATGAAAGCGTGGGGATGAAAGGTTTTGTGAGGGTGAAAGAAATCCTCTGCAATAGCTGAAGTTTGGGAAGAAAGGGGCAGCCTTAGCAGTGATGAATTCAGTAGAACATAGAAACGAGACACATCTGGCAGTAAGTGAGGGGGTCACCCACTATCAACTAGTCTGGTGATACCTGTGTCAGTTCCATTTACACATCATTACCTGTCCATACACTAGAGCTGATTTAAGTGCAGATTTGAGTTGAAACGCTGATTTTTACTTTTTCTCTCTTTAAGAGGCTACCTATGTTCCATCATAATAGACACCTACAATAGTCTCTTGGCAATGGAATAAGCATTACAAAACCAGCAGCAGAAACGGAACAGCTAGCTATGGATTCCTGGAATACAGTTGGTCAAAGTGGCAATTCAAGGAAGGAATGTACTGCAGCCAGGAAAAATTATGGTGCATGGACAGAGGAGGTAAAATACCTTCTCAGAACCCCAGAGCTGTCACACTGCTTTCCTCTGTTGAGCCTCATCTTTGCAGCCCTTTCAATTATCTTCCTAGCCAACTTCCCCTCCCCCCCTTTTTATACAGTGAATGCCTTCACAAAGAGGTCTCATGTCAGCTAAGGGCTGTACTGCTGCAGCTAGACTTGCCCAAATCAACCCTGCCATGACTCTTTGTCTGATTACTGAAAGAGATAGAATATTCTGAACAACACTTGACAAAATCTTAAGGCTTTAGCCCGAGGAGCTGTGGCTAGAAAACTGCCATAAAGTGTTCATTCCATTGCAACTTCTTTATCTCTTGCTGTTTAGTGTTCTGGAGAGGCTTTCTAGAAATGCTGTTCAGCATGAAGGTCACTAGCATTAGTCCCAGCTGAAATGCTGAATACAGTCCACTTTCTGAGATGAGCTAGAGGTGTGTGCTGCTGTTGGAAGAGATATCTAACTCCATATAGTATGTTTAAGTTGCCATTTACTTTGCAGATAAAGGATTAAATGCTATTAAAAGGTAGAAGCATTTACAGGCCTAGAATTCAGTAATCAAGTCTATTATCTCACTGCAAAACAAAGACATTAAGTAAAAGCTACGCCTTCAAACACCATACATGTCCAGCTCCACTGCTGTTGTGAAGAACAGAATCGAGTCAGGGATGGGCTGCAGGATGATATGGGGCAGAGCAAAGCACAGGTCTTTTAGCCAGTTCTGGAACTGTGGGCAAGGTAGGTCACTTATTCAGAGTTGAGAAAAACAGCCTCACTTTTAGTCATTTACGTCACCCTTAAAAGTTTTTGACTTTTTGTTTTTTTTAAGGTAGATGTTTCCAAACATAGAAACTAAAAAAAAAGAAGAAAAATGAAAACAGACTGGCTAATTTTGGCATTCAAAGAGGATATAATATGAAATATAGGCATACTGAGATTTAATACTTTTAAGATGTGGAAAGGGCTCCCAGTAAGCACAACTGGGTTTGTTTGTAATGTCCATATCTCATTCAGAGTTTTGCTTACAAAGAATCTTCAAGGGAATCTTCAAGGTGCAGCAAAGAGAGCTTTTAATTCTTTGGACTCCCTACTTAATTGTTGCTTAAACAGGGAAGAAAACCAATTAAAAATAGACCCATAATGATGAGAAATTACTGTGTTATTTCTTGAGTTTTCTGATGGTAAATAGAAAAATATCTGTAGCTTATAGCAAAATGGGAGTACATCATAATTAAAAGCCTAAAATGACCACAGAATGTTTCAGCTGTTAGTGGTAACAAATGGCAAACTAATGAATAGTGCTGTGCATCTGAAAAGGGGTTTGTAAGCCCTGCTCAGAACACACCTGTGAAGCCTGGTGGTAACTGTAACTGGCATCACGCAGCTGCAAAACCCAACTAGAGGGGCTGAAAACACATCTGTGCTTTCTCTCTCTCTCTCGGACTAGGATGGCCCTAGCACGAGGGAGCGCAAGCCCTGAAATGACCTACCTGGCTTGCAGCCCTCCCACAGTGACCCACAGGAGCAGCGTGGGCAGCGCAGGTCCTCCTCAGCCGTGTCCCAGCACAAGTGTCTCTGGCTGTGGCACAGAGCTGGCTCAGCGCTGCTGAGCAGCCCTTCCAGCCAGCCTCTCCTCCAGTTGGAGCTGAAGATTGTTTTACAGCCCATTGCCGATTCAGTGGGGCTATGGGGCACTTGATGAATTCCCTCCTCCGAAGAGGACGTGACTTGCCCAGGGCCACAGAAGGTCCGTGCCAGAACTGGGATCAGGACTCTGCAGTCCCCAGGTGCCAGACACGTGCTTGCCTTAAAACTGAGCACTTCATCAAACCGTAAAATCCAGCCAGATGGTGACTCTTTGCTATTATCTGGACCAGTGCTGGGAGGCCTAACGTGTGCAAGGCACGGGGAAGATCTGGATTCCGGTTTCTGTGTTTAAGGCTCAGAAGCCCAGAAAACGGATCCGCGTTTTAGACCTAAGTGCTGCAAGAAACATGAGCATGTTTAAACTCAAATCCTGACTTTGATCCATCCTTCTCATTAAATATTTCCATCTCAGCCTGAACCCACCAGTTTCAGTGGGGAAAGTCTTTCTTTGGGAAGGGATAGAGAGGCGAAGGAGTAAGGACTGGCTACTTTGTCAACCTTACTCTGCCCTGTGTACATGGCCCCAGTCAGACTCTCTTCTTCCACGTAGAAAAGACTGCCTGATTCGGCCAGTGGATCAATTTTGCCCCTTGGCAATCATTAAGAACTCACTGTAGGGTCCCAGGAGGCAAATACACCCTCTCTGCCTTACATACAGAATCACAGAATGTTAGGGATTGGAAGGGACCTCAAAGGATCATCTAGTCCAATCCCCCTGCCAGAGCAGGACCACCTCGATCAGATCACATATGAACATACATCATGAGATCAGATCACATATGAACATACATCCCAGAACTCTCAGTTAAACTCTCCAAATGCAGGCCTGAGCTAATACAGAGATTTTTTGCAGTTGGATTTTTTTTTTTAAAAAAAAGTGGTTTCTATGGCTTTATTCCTGTCTCAAATTCAACAGCAAATATTTCTGTTGGCTACCCCGTGAATGGACTTGGGCCTTTTTCCCATCTTCCAAAAAATCCTTCCAAGCTTATGAGCAGCCCATTGCTCTTTGCATCTTGCTGCTGGGGAAAAAAAAACCCAAACAACTATATATTTCTCTTAATTACAGTTACCCCTTTATTTGCGTATTTCCTGGGGCACATACCTCTGAGGTGGTTGGAATGACCACGTATTTTTTCCAGTAGCTTCATTGTGCATGTCTTTGTCCCTTTCTCCCAGTCAGTGTATAAACAGCATGTTAGTTCCAAATCAAAAGCAATTCACTGCTGCTAACTGCAGCAGAGCCTTTGTCTTTCCTTAGCGT